GGTCCACAGACGATACCATGGTCAGCCTAGTACAAAAAATGCAACACCGGCCTATGGCTCAACTTTATTTGTCCTGTGAGGGGATGGTGCGTTCCATTCAAGCTATGCTTGATACTGGAGCGGATGTCACGATCATTGACAGGCGGCAGTGGCCAAAAAGTTGGCCACTAGTTCCAGCAGTTGATGCCATACAGGGAGTTGGAGGAGGCTCGAACCCTCTGCTAAGTTCTAAAGTGGTCGAGGTGCAATTCACAGAAGGACAACATGTGAATATAAGGCCATATGTGTTGCCCCTACCTAGTGGCTTGGGAGGTTTAGTGGGCCGCGACCTTATGTGCCAACTCGGGGCCTCCCTGAGCATTCCTGCACCATCCCAGAATTTTTAGGAAAGGTCACTGCTGATGTGCCACCAACCCCAGGAATTTGATGGAAAACTAATGAACCCGTGTGGGTTGAGCAGTGGCCRATGACGATGGAGCGGCTTAAGATTGCTCATCGGCTAGTACAAGAACAGCTACAAGCCGGACATGTTCAGCCATCCATAAGTCCGTGGAACACCCCCATCTTCACTATTCCTAAAAAGTCTGGGAAATGGAGGCTATTGCATGATCTCCGTAAGGTCAACGACCAGATGTGGCCCATGGGTGCACTTCAACCAGGCATGCCTTTGCCGACTATACTACCTAAGGACTGGGACGTGTTGGTGATAGATTTGAAAGATTGTTTTTTCACTATTCCTTTACAACCTCAAGATACAGCCCAATTTGCCTTTACTCTGCCCGCGATAAACAAGGCGGAACCCTCGCATAGATATGAATGAGTAGTGCTGCCACAAGGGATGAAGAATTCACCTACAATGTGCCAAATGTATGTCGTGTGGGCACTTCAACCTCTCTGTGCTCACATGAAAAATACCATCATATACCATTATATGGATGACATCCTGTTTTGCCAAGAGAAGCCATTTGACTCATCTGTCATTCCAATCGTCAGGGATACACTCGCCACAAAGGGTTTAATCATTGCACCTGAGAAAGTTCAACGCACCGCTCCCTGGAGGTATCTTGGATGGCTTGTGCACGCGGCTACGGTCTCCCCACAAAAACTTGAGCTTACTACCCAAATTCGGACCCTTAACGATGTTCAAAAACTAGTGGGTGATCTACAATGGGTCCGCAACGTAGTTGGCATCACAAATGAAGAAATGCAGCCACTTTTAGAACTTCTGAAAGGTACAGACCCTGCCATGCCTGTGTCTTGGCAGCCGTGACATCAAGAGTGCATGCGGTATCAGTCAGAAACTCACTACCTCTAGCGCAGATAGGCGCCTTGCTAACGTACCTCTGAGCCTAGTTATTTGTAATCTTATTAACCATCCATTTGCTCTCTTAGTGCAATGGGTCGCTTGGCAAAAAGAAAACGGAAAGAGGTACAGCAAAAGGGATACCACGGAAGATGTTTAGCAGCAGCAGCAACGGATAAGGATAGCGGCAAATCAGGTGGCAATTCTGGAGTGGATTTTTCCGCCCTTTACCGCCCCAAAGAGTATATGGCAACGGTCAGAAGTCATTGGACATCTGGTTCGTAAGGGCCGACAACGCTGCAAGGAGGTAATTGGGGAAGAACCGGCATATATAAGCCTACCTATAAGGATGGGAGATTTAGACTGGATGTTGCAGAATTGTCT